TAAAGAGGAGGGTCAACACGGAGGAATCATTTCCTCCATGCTTCCAAGAGAAGCCAACAATGGTCGAGCAGGACCTTTGAATTATCTTCACATAGGTGGAACTGATAAAAGAAAGGAGCCAGGGGCTCCTCCCAAGCCCATGAGACCCATGAGGAACAGGTCCTCAAACGACCTCAAGAGTAAAAACAAATCATTTTATCTGGTCCAACTGTATGTCCTTAAACACCCAAAAGGGAAGTATAACCCAAAGATTCAAGGGGCCAACATAATATCATAAGAGCATACATATACATAACTAAAAGTTACTCGACAAACAGCAAAGCCAGACAGGCGATACCTTTACATGATGACTCACAACCATCTATAAGTCTAGTTCCAGGGGATATGGTGCTATTTGCTATCACCAGGCACACATGTGGTGAACAGATATCCATGCAAACAAACACCCATAGAATAAAACGTACATTTTTATTACTTGTATTTTATGTGTATGAGAGCCTCACAGGTTGTGTTCCCCAGGGGTTCTGGTTCCTCCAAGGGGCAGGGCCTGCTATGGAGAACTGACTGTGCAGTTAGCCTGAAGGAGGGGATTGTGGCACCATCTTGGGGCAAAAGCAGTGAGCTGCCAGGAACCGCCAGCGCTGGAGGGTGTTGGGAACCTTCAGAGAAAGGCGAGGAGGCGGGCATGGAGAAAGAAGATTGCCCCAGTGTCTCACCCTTGAGGGGGTATTTACTAACCCGGAAGGAGACTGCCAGCCCAAGATGCATGGGTGAATACTAGCAGTGACTGTGGGCTTGCCCTATGGCAGGCTCTGAGCTGCAGTGCACAGCTGGGCAGCCTGGAGCTGAGCGGCACTGGTTGCTCCTTTCCTTGTAAGTTCCTCCCCTTCCTCCCTGCCCCCAATATGATAATAACAAATGTACATAAAGATATGTTACATGGTTTACCTGATAGCTCAAGAGACCCAGAGAGAACTCTGGCAACACAGGTTAAGAGAACTAACTGCTCTTACACAGGACCTGGGTTCAATATCCAGTACCCTCACGGTGTCTAACAACCACCTGGAACTCCAATTTCAGGGGATCAGATGCCTTCTTCTGATCACCATGGCCATTACACAACATGGATGCATTTACCTACATGCAGGCAATACATGCATACACATAAAATAAAAATAATAAATACAATATTTAAAAATATTTTATTTTTATTTTTTGTGTGTATGACTACATTGCCTACAGGTGTGTAAGTATACCCATGTTATACAATGCCCACAAAGGTCAGAAGAGAGTTTTAGATTTCCCTGGAACTGGGGTTACAGACAGTTATTAGCTGTCATGTGAGTGCTGGGAATTGAACCCAGGTCCTCTGCAAGAGCAATCATTGCTCTTAACCACTGAGCCATCTCTCCAGCCCCTTTCAAGTCTATTTTATAAGATGTTTCTTTGAGGCCTTAAGCATTCATGGCAGCTGCTAATTTTCAGGATGGGTAAGTATCTAGCTCAATGTTTTCCTAGGAGCTTCCTGTTAGCTAGTACAAGAAAACCGTGTTCTAAATAAAGCCCTTTACCTGTCTCCTTCAGTCCCAATCAAGAACCAGAACTACAGGGAGGGTGTATAACCCTCCCGAGTCTCAGTTTTGTTGGTGTGAAGACAAGCACTTGCTATCTGTTAATTAGGCTGACACCCTGCTCCTCCCACGTACATTCCATCAATCCTAGCAGGAGTGGCAATGGTCAGTCCCAACTTCAGCTTTAAGCCCAGCTTGCAAAGTACCCTTGTTTAAGCCAGCCACTAAGCAGCCTTATTCTACATGTAGTCTTCTGACAACACTGAGAATTTGTGAGTATTCCACTGGAGTGACTACCACATGCATATACAAATTCTAAATACAAGATGAAGTGTGTCATCACAACTGCTCTAACACCTAAAATATTTCTGTGGTGTTCAATTTCAGCCTTGACATCTCATTAACCCTTGTCTGCCTAGTGAGAGACTACGTTTCACTGGATAATTCACCAAATCTTCAAAACAATGGTATAAACTACTATTATCATTATTTGTGTTTTACAGATGAAGAGGGTTTGGAGAAAGTAATTAAGCTGCTCAAGGTCAAACAGTGAGTGACAAAGTCAGTATCCAAACACTTGTAGTTTGACGGAATGGTATGTGATCTGAAGCATCATAATAAAATGTTCTGTCATCTGTAGTACAGACCCAAAGAGAAAAAGAACTAAACTTCAGAGTAGACATTCTTTTTGCATGAGAAGCAGTTTAGGAGATTTCAGGCTGCTTTAGCACACAGTCTCTCATCTCTCACAATAACTCTGAGCACATACAAAGAAGACATTATTATTTCTTTCTTAGCGATGAGAAAATGATCCATGAAAAGGGGGGCATCACTGCAAGCTGGTTAAGTGGCAGTGCCAAATGAGGACTCTTTTCTACTCTCCTTCCACTACGGCCATTCTTGAGGATCTTAGTCTGCCTTGTTGTCTCCTGCTGCATTGGTTCATCTGATGGTGTTTAACTCAGAAGTCACATGGTAGGGGGGTTTCCCAGAGTATGATCCATGAGTCACTGGGAAAATATGGGTTTATTCTGATGGATAAAACATTATAATAATAACAGTTCTGTCTTTTAATGTATTCTAAGTAAAAAAATAGAATTGCGCATTTTCCTTTGACTTTATGACTATTAAAAATACTGAGTTACTCTTATACTCTAAATTTTTCTGTGCAGTATAAATTTTCAACTAAGAGCCTGCCCTCTGACTCCCATTTCAAAATGAAGGAAAACCCTACTTTTCTGAGGGATAGTCCCTGGCCCTCCCATGCTTGCCCACATGGCCCAATGGATAATTAACTTGTACATCTTCATGGCTGAAATCTCATACAACCCTGTTGTGTATCATTCTATCCAGACTGTCTTGTACCAGAGACCACGTTATTGATTATTCTGACTGTCCACAAGGCTTAGTGCTACGCGTAGAAGATAGCAGAAACTTAATACACACACAAAGAATGAATAAATGAGCAATCTCATTTTCTGTATAGAGCTGTTCTTTCCAATTATAAATCAAGCCCCTAAGTGTATCCCTACTCTAAATGAAACAAACCAGAGACAAACCCTACTAAATAATTTCTGCTGCCTTGCTCTCTGTTCTTTTAAGCTTTTGCATAGGAACATCTGCATGGAAATAGGCTCTCCTGTTACCTTCCCCTTTCTATGGGTTCCAGCTGTCAGCTCACGTGCTGTCAGTCAACCATGGGTGATATCTTGACCTCCAACTAATGCCTTTGTGGGCTTGGAATCATACTTAGAAACCCAGAGGTGAAAAGCCTCTAGGGACTATTCATTGCCAGTAGCACAATCCTCAAAGGCCTATGTTTGGAAGGTTATCTCAGGAGACTCAAAGGTTTCCTAATGAAAAACCAAGAAGCTATAACCCCCCAAACAAGACCAAACTTCTCAGAATATAGCCAAAATACTGAAAAGTAATAAATGCAAATTCCTTCCTCTCACTCATGTTTCTATTTGCAATTCCAGAAACAATTTCTTTCCCATTCATGTTCACAGCTCAGGTTAATTTCAGCTGTCACTTAGTAAACCATTAAAACAAATAACAGTCTGATAAAGGGGTATGGTGGATTACCTTTGTAAAATTTATTTATTTTTATGAGTGTGTGCATGTTAAGTGCACACATGTCATGTAATGCCAGAGGAGGCCAGAAGGGGGCCTCAGATTCCCTGGAACTGGAGTTATGGATGACCATTAGCCACCATGTGGGTGCTGGAACCAAAACCAGGTTACCCTGCAAGTGCTCTTTACCGCTGAGCCATCTCTCTAGGCCCCTGCGTTATCTTTTTCAGTTCTATTAAACCCAGAAGGAACAAAATTGTATCAAGGTATGCTCTACATTCCTAATACTGGAGTGGGAAGAATGCTGGGGTTTTGTAGGTGGGAAGGTAGAGGAATCTCAGAGTCTGCAGACATGTTTTCCGTCCTTTCTTGGCCAGGCAATAAATCCTACTTGGCAAGTTCAAAAATAACTATTAAAAAGCAGCACCAAAGAACAGCTATGAACTTTCCAAAGGGCTATTTTCTCTCTCTCTCTCTCTCTCTCTCTCTCTCTCTCTCCACACACACACACACCCACACCCACACACCCACACCCACCCCTTATCTGTCTAAAGAAGACCTGAGATAAATGATTAATAAATACGTTTTAGAATTCTCTACAAAACCACCACATCACACATTTAAGTCTCTTCAAATTATAACAGTAATTACAAAAAATAACCACAATAATAAAAGTTATAAAATAATGTCATAAAATCACCTAGGAGAGACTCTGGATTTTTTAGAAAAAGATAGGTATTAGTAGGGATATTTGAATATAGTTCCCAAGAACTAAGAGACTAAGTCCCTTTTTATGATGCCCTACAGCTTTTTCAAATGAAAGCCTACTCAGGTTAAAATTTTCTTTAATTTTTTTTTCTTTGTAGTTTACTTAGGAGCCTCCCTTCCTTTGAGAGCCCCATTAGACATACACCACTTGTGGACCCTGTCCTTTTAAGTGTAGAAATGGTATCCACATATGGCCAGATTCAAATCTAGGGTATTCAGGGCTTGCCTTTCAGACTTTGACAAGGATTCTTGAGTTCCAATTTCCCTTGAGTGTCAGAGTGCCTACTGAGGGCCAATGAGCACCCTTACCGTGAAATAAAACTGCTCTGTCTCTTGCTGGTTGGCTCTCCTCTTAGCAATGCTGGGCTTGCTCATGAAAGTTTCTGAGACTGTTGATTTGACAGATTCCATGGAATTGCTATACTGGAAACAGTCAGACACATCAAAATCTTCAACAGTCACAATGTCCTGGATGGTCTGCAGGGTAGCCTCCATTGTCTTTTTTACCTGTAACCACAGGGACCAAAATACTGTATGAGGGACAGGCTTTAAAATAACAGGTAATAGAGAAACTTGGAAGAGTTTGAGAGGGAGTGGGGTAGGGAAGGAAGAAGGATGCCAGCAGAAATTACAACTTGACTTCTCACTGGACAGTGCTGGGTGATAAACATTATATGACCTCTGCTAGAGCATGCTGCTCTCTCTAATGAAGACCTAAACACCACTACTCCTTCTATGCTATGTACTTAACTCAGCTCTTTTACTTAGTGTTTCCTTTAAAAAAACAAACAAACAAACAAATTTCTTTTATGCCTATGACTGCTTTGCTTGCATGTATATATGTGTATCTCATGTGTGGATAGTGTCTACAGAGGCCAGAGAGAGTGTCAGATCCCCTGGAAATGGAATTACAGAAGGTTGTGAGCTGCCATGTGGGTTCTGGGAAGTGCTCTTAAACCACTGAGCCATCGTTCCTGCCCCAATGCTTACTTTTAAAATTTAATGCTAGCTCTTCAGTATAATAGAACTGCCAAAGAAAACAAGAGTAAGATAACTGCAAACCAAGGTCCCCATCATATAGGAATTAGTTAAAACATGTGATGGGTCTACTCCTACAATGCCTCAGGACATTTCCTGTCTTACCACCTTCAACAAATCAATGAATTTGCTTCCCTAGTTGTAGTGACTCAACCTACTCCTTCCTAATAAAAGACTTACTGTATAATATAAACCATCTGAGCTCAACAGAAAGTTGGATCAATCAAATTGCCCTTTTGAACTGGTTATTATAAGAAAATATGCTGAGTTTAGAAAAAAGTCATTCTTTGTAAGAGGACAGAGATGTGTGAAGTATCAAAGTTAAAGACGTCTGTTTGAAAATGCTAGAAAAAGCTATTCATGAGTGGGTCATTTCGGAGATGCAGTACTGTTCACATAGTTGCCAAAAGTACTTTGATTAATGTGTAGTATGTGTGTGTGTGTGGGGGCATTTTGCAAATGCTCAAAATAGAGCACAACTTTTGGCAATGTAAGAACAGCTTCCTGGATTTCAAGAACAGGATGTAGCAGTAGGAAAAGCTCAAGCCTACATTTGGCCAGGAAATCTTTGCAGTAGCCTGGACATTCTCTGCATGTTCTCTCCACCTGCCCCTAGATGGGCAGCAACAAGTAGTTCAACAAAGAAGTCACTGGCTCTGAGTCTCCTAGAAAACTTACCTCTTCATTCTCAATCTTTAGAGTGGATAAACGAGACTGCAGTTGTTGGCATCTCTGTACCAGTTCACTCTGGACAGGCTGCTGAGCACAGAGCTGAGAAGCCTGTCAAAAAAGAGGAACACCAGGTCAGGAAGAGGACATAGCTCTTTGGGTGGTTCCAGAGTTCTCATTACTGCTCATAAAACTATTCATATTGTACCGTACTCCAACTATTGGAAGGCTTGCAGCTTGTATGTGCAAACAAAATCCAAAGCCAATGGTTGTACGGACCTTTTCTAGTCCAAACAGTACATGAGAGGGACAGAGATGAGAACCTGCAAAGACCAAGCTTCTTTCTTTGGAGCCCATAGGCAGATGGTAGCTGACAGGGGCAGGTCTAGCAGGATTTGCAGCTCCAATAGAATTCTGAGAAGGCCAGAGAAGAGTGCCTGAGGCAGCCCCAGGTCCAGAAACACAGTGCTTTGGCAGAGTGAAGATTTCCTGTGAAAGGTCCAAATGGTCATCTCGCCAGCCCTTCCCTCCTTCCCCTTCATACACTAGAGTGAAAACAGGAGAAGTAGGCAAGGAAGCTAACTTGCTGCTGTTGGCAGCCAACAGTTTATAAATATGGAACAAGCATGAGAGCTTAGCTTTGACTCAATGGGAGAGATGTGAAGCCGGAAACAAGTTCACGGGTTGTATTAGAGAGCCCCAGAGGGCATGGGATCTGATAGAACTTGATATTTTCCAAACAAGCTATCATTTTACCCTACTAGATCTGTATGGGACAGGATCCTTTGCAATTTCCCTAGCCCCCAATTACTACTTCCAAGTAGCTTTCCCAGTGTGAAGCGACAGCTGACCTAGCGTTTTCTGATAGAGGTATGGATATGGATGACATCACCCAATTTCCAGGATGATTGATAAGAAGCAGAAGTCTAGGAGAGTTGAAAGGTAGGATCCACATGGAGGCAGTGCCTGTCACCTTGTGTCCTTTAGCTCTCATCAGAAGGGAAGCATCTGGATAGAAGTGGGCTCCCCAGCAAAAAGTGGGTACATTCACATGTTTGTAGACCATTCTCTTACTCAAAAAATAAAAACCCTCTTTAAATGGAGGATACTTGGACTTGACTATTTTCTCTATTGGCATTTAAGCTTCCAACTGATTTGACCTCTTCTTCAGCTGTGGGGCTGGCCCAAGATCTGGAAAGATCTGACTTCTGGTTCTTAGATAAGTAGACATAATGGAGAAAGCTTGGTGATCAGATGGGTTAGTGCCAAGAATGAATTTTTGCCTCTGACTGCCTGATGTCACCAGTCAGGCATCTAGCACCACTCTTAAGCCTCTGGGTACACAAATAGTAAAGCCAGGCACCAACTCCTAGAACATCTAAGAGCACTTGACATCAATTACTGTGCTGGGATCCAAGAACATTAGTGTGGCTAATTTCAGGGCTTCCAGTTAACATGCCACCTGAGCACTGATCCTAGTTCAAGGGCTTCCAGGCAGCTCCCTCCTTCTGTCTAAAGACAGTCCACAATGATGTAGATAGATTGGATGCAGGAACCAAGAAGGACTTGCCTTCTCATTTCTTTTTATTTCCTAGTCTTACAAAAGCTAAGCCAGAATGTGTAATCATCTTACCCCGGCCCCTTTGTGGCTGAGCCACTGATCAGCTGTGTCACATAAACAGCAAAAGAATGAATTACTGATTTTAAAAGTCACCGAGGCCTAATGGAGAAAAAACTACTTCCAAGGCTGTTTCTTTAAGTAGCAGCAGAACTGCTGATGCATGCTTTGCCAGTGATCTTCTGCCAGGATGCAAGGTAATGTGTTCCAGCTGTGCTCTAGAGTATGGAAATGTGGTTCTGACAGGGCAAGGAGGGGGTCCAAGTACCCATCATCTGGATTCCCCTTTATGAAGACAAGCTGTTTGGCTCAGAAAGGAACTCAGTCAACAGCGAAAATCCACCAGTCTCTATTCAGCTAGTCCCTAGTTACAGTGATTCTTGGAAAGGAATCTCAATGGCATCTGGAGAAGGGGCTTGGAAGGTAAGTTTGAATAGAAATCAGGGCAGGCAAGGAATGGAGCTTCCTGGCGGTTGGTAATACTCCTTCCCCCAACTCTAACCAACATGTATGCTGATGTGTCACCTTCCCCTCTGTTCAGATGCTAATATTTCTTCAATCATAGCAATGGAAAAAAAACTTATAAGGGGTTTTGTTTTCCTCAGGAAGGAGAGGAAAGAAATCATCTTCACATTTTGAGTGTAAGACAGAAATCCACTACACCATTATGGCCTATTGATGATAGTAAATTGTTTTGACTATACTGCTACAGTTGTCATGATACAGCAGGGTTTTTTGAAAGAGTCTAGATGCTAATTCTAAGGGGAGTACTGCTCCTGGCAAGGGCACACTGCTGATCTTAGCCTTCTTAGCATCTATTCCTTTTGGTTTGATGGTCCTCTGGGAGAATCATTCACTCAACAATTCAGGCCAGCTGTTTTGAATGGAACATCCTAGGCATGAGTCAATAAGCCCATCAGTCAAAACCAAATAGATACACTAAGACTTTTATATGGGAGGGAGCAGACACTCTTCCCATTGGAATTTATCCCATAGAGAGCATAAAGTAGAAATGAAACCACCTTCTGTTCTATATAAGAGCCTGTCTGAGAACACAAGTGTGTAGAGAGATAGAAAACAAGTACTGGGTAAAATTCCTGTTCCTAAATCGAATCCTGATAGTTTCTGTCATGTAAGCTTACACATCCTCCTCATTTAAGGGAGAGGTGAAATGGTGGTTCCCATCTGTAAGAACAACGTTTACTGATTTGGATGCATCACCACCAGAGGTGGAACCAAAAGACTCAGAGCAATGCAAAGCAAGGAGCTCTTTCCTCTTATTTTATCCCAGTGCTTTTTATTCTAGTGTCAGGCCACCATGTTTATATTCCCATGACTGGGCAACTAGCATCAGGCTTTAGGATGGCTTCTTAGCTCCTTCCCTTTCTGGAGGAATCCATTCTGTTTTGTTTAATATCTATGTAAAACCATACCATTCAACGCAATCTTGTAAATCCAGGAAAACAGATCTTTCAGAACTCTGCCAAATGATGAAAGACCTTGTCATTCCTGTTTAGCCTGGCTTCCTGTGCAGAGGCCTCTGAAGCCTGGTCTGACGTCAACTCCTCTTTCAGCCTCACTGTTGGGAGCCCTCTTACCATTCTTTCCCTTTCATTTAAAACATTTTTTTTTTTGTCTTTTTGAGACAGGGTCTCCTTGTAGCCCCAGCTGTCCTGGAACTCACTATGCAGACCAGGCTGGCCTTGAACTCAGAGATCTGCCTGCCTCTGCATCCCAAGTGCTGGGATTAAAGACGTGCGCCACCATGCCCGACCACAAATTACATCTTAATTAATTAATTAATTGATTAATTAATTAACTGTCTGTGGGGGGCATGCACGTACCACGTGTATGGAGGTCAGAGGACAACTTGTAGGATTGATTTTCTCCTTCCTCCTTGAGTCCTGGGGATCAAACTCAGGCCATCAAATTTGGCAGCAGGCACCTTTACCCACTGAGCCATCTCACTGACCCATTTTCAAAAACTTGTATTTTATTAATTTACATGTCTGTGTCTGTGTGTCAGCAAGCGCTTGCTGTGGAATGCCTGTGGAGGTCAGATGACAACTCGCTGGAGGTGGTTCTCTCCTTCTACCTTGTAGGTCCTGGGGATCAAACTCAGGTTGTCAGGTGGCAAGCACGTTTACCTGCTAAGCCATCTTGATAGCCCCTTATGCTTATTTCTAACTCTTTCCCAACCTCAGCTACTTCAGTCAGTAGATTATAAGTCTTCAATGACTCTAATCCCCATGGCCAATTCTGAAGAGCAGCAGGTACTCAGGCACTCTGTGATGAAGGAGTAGAATGTAACTCACCTCATCTTCCATGAAGCCTTCTCCCCCTTGAATGTGGCTTCTGTGTAGTGAAACTATGCAAAAGTCAAATTCAAGTCCCTTTAGTATCAGGAAAGGGTGTAGAATGGAGAAGGGCCTTACCATATCTCCCATGTGAGGCTGGAACTCAAACTTCATAGGGGGGCAGAAAACATTGTTGTACATCTCCATGAGGCGCTGCTTGTCACTGGTGGCATCCAAATTTTCTACTGCATTTTCGATAGCATCTAGACCCTCATGCTTCGACTGCTCCAGATTTAATTCAGCAGACAGGAAAGTGCGCAGGGCCCGGTTCAGGCTAGCGTGGTAGCCTAGGTCACAACACTGCTGTGGGAAGGATAGGGCACATGAACATATCACAGACATTCCAAGGCTTCATAGAAAGGGAAGAGGTCCCTGGGACAGATTTAACCACATCAAGGTGACTAACTGTGCAATGGGAAGGAAACTAGGTGAGATTTCTTAGTTCCTGTCTCCCAGGTCAGTGGTCAGGCACACCATACAGGGTGTTGAAGTGGTTAAATAGAAGAGGATCCATAAAGACCCAATGGCAAGAGTTAATCAAGGCCTATACAGTGCTAGTCCATAAACATGAGAAGGGCTGAGAGTTAAAGATTTCTGGTTTGTCTGGAGATGCTGTTATGGTAAAATTCAACAATACAGCCTGTACTACTCCTTGAATTTTACTGTGGTTAAGTCACCACATAACAAGCTTGCCAGGTCACTGCAGCATTCAGGGGTAAAAATCTGGAGGGTTGAAGCAGGAGCAAATTCACATACACTCAGCTCTAGGTGGGTAGAAGAAGAGAATGGAAGAGTCATGGACATCAACTTTCCAGTGATCTGGACAGGGCTGAGCTTCAGAGTAGAAAGGCTAGACTAAAAAGTTCTAAGTGTTACTGAGGAAATTCTTATCATGTCTCAGATTTTCTACAACAAAATGACAAGAAGAAATGACTTTGTGGGCACCTGAATTCACATGCACATACCCACACTCCTACACATAACTAAAAAAATTAAAACAAGATCTGGGTATGGTGGCAAATGCCTTTAATCCCAGCACTCAGAAAACAGAGGCAGGTTGATCTCTGTGAGATCAGGCCAGCCTGGTCTCCATAGTAAGTTCCAGGCCAGCTGACAGGGAGACCCTGTCTCAAAAAGACCAAAAAGAAAAAGAAAAAAAGAAAATAAAATGATAAACAAGGCTTGTGAAGGAATGATACCTGATGATGTTCTCTGATCTCCACATACATGTGCACTTATATGCACATACATTCTCACATACATACAAAGGGAAAACAAACAAACAAGCAGTAGAGGCAGAATCAAGCAACCTTGGAAAAGCAACTCTATTCTTAGACCTATTTCCTCAACAATACAATGAATAAATGTGGCCAGTCCAGTAATTCTCAAGCTATAGATCAGCTGTCAGAACTCAGGTTACCCGTGAGAAGGGGTAAGAGGACAACCCAGCTAGTAGGTCTTGGAGTCTTTATCCCTCTGTCAACCAAGACAGCTCTGCTCATTTTCCCATTTAATCAACAGAGATCCTACATATGTTCTGGTTTGAAGGACAAATTCTTTTGTTAAGAAATAAGGTCTGGGGGCTGGAGATGGCTCAGCAGTTAAGAGCACTGGTTGCTCTTGCAGAGGACTTGGGTTTGCTTCCCAGCACCCATATGGTGGCTAACCACCATATGTAACTCCAGTTCCAGGAGATATGACTCCCTCTTTTGACCTCCTCAGGCACTGCATGACATGCGTGCACTTACATACATGCAAGCAATACACTCATATACACAAAAATAAAAATAAAATATTTAAAAAAAAGAAGTAAGTTCTAAAAAAATCCTTGAATTAAATATAATTCCCAAGGCTCTTTTCAGCAACAGCAGCCTGTAACACTATGGCAATATTCCCTACTCCGCCAATAAAAACCCAGAAATCCAAATTCCTTGGCCATCAATTATCACCTCTATTGTTTACACAGCTTTGATGTCCAGAGCCTGAGAGGAAATGTCAAAGAAAAATCTAGGGATAGAGTAAGGCCATCTGCTGAATTGTAATTTCACTGCATAAATAACCATCAAATTAATTCCCCTCAGACTTTCCTTCTCATCATGATAACATCTTAAACAGCCACTATTGGGGAAGAAAAAGCATGTGACAGGCCTCCTCCTTCCAGGCATCTGACAAGAAGCTCAGCAATGGAGCACGCACTGGGCTGAGCTCTGGGTTCAGTGCCAACAGACTCTGGCAGGTGCCTGGCTTCAGCAGAGTAACAGCAGTGACAGCATAACTATAGCCAGAGGATGGAAAAACATTGAATTCAGTTGGGGAAAGAGCAAACAGAATCTAGACAAAGGCGGCTGATTGGGAGGCTGCACGTGCAAGGAGTCTTCTTCCTTTAGGAGATGCTGTTGAACTAATCAGGCTGCCTTTGAATCTGTAAATCTTCTTGCCTAGCTGTCTATAAACCTTAAGATGAACTATATACCTAGAGATCTAGTGAACAAAAGTAACACTGCCCACAGAGTATGTTGGGGGACCAAGAGAGAACTAGGAGGAGACAGGGTGTCCTTCAGAAATCTCTACATATTTTTTGAAACTGCCTTTTCTTTTCCATTCTTACTACCTCTAATTCACACCCTCATCTTATACTAGCATTCTGTGCCTCAGTTTCCTAAAATGTTACTTTTACAATGTTCTTTTTGAAGAACCTAAAATACCTTTCCCCTGTCTGAAGTAAATTCACCTTCTTCAGTTTATACATATAAAGAAATGTTTCTGTTCACTAAGATGTTTACTATATGCCTGAGAGTGAACTAAGTGCGTTATGTATAGTTCACATTTTAATCCTCATAATTACTTCCAATGAAGTCTGTATTATGTCAGTTTTTCATGCAGCTCAGTGAAGTTATATAACTTGAGCAAGGTCAAATAGGCAAAACAAACTGCAATTTAACTGTAGTCTACCCAGTCAACATCATCTCCCTTTAAGTACTTCTTTACCCTTTACTACTGAGTTCCAGTGACAAACTCTCTATATGGGACAGGGTGTTAGAAAAGCATAGCCTCTGGCCTAGCAAACGAGTTTAGCTCTCCAGCCTAAAATGGGGGAAACACCAGCTTTACAGGTTGTTGTGAGGCTAATGGGCACTTATACATATCTGGCACTATAAGGACATAAAAGAAACACCAACTGCAAGTATTGGTCAATCTACTGACCTCTACCCTTCAGCCCCCAGCATTTCTTTTCCTGAAATATTTCCTTCCACTCTCATCTGTTAGACTTAATATTAAATTCCCAGCCTCTGGGAAGATAGCCAGGCCCTGCATACCTGGCTGACCCTATTTGGAACCATGCTCATCCTCATATGATCCCAAACACACACATTCATGTATACATACATACACACACACACATACACACACACACACACACCCTAACATAAAGGTCTCACAAAATATATCTTAGCCATATACTAGTGTGATATGCTCTGATAGACAACTATCTGTTTAAAATAATGCCAGATCTCTGTGAGTTTGAGAGCAGTCTGGTCTATAAAGCAAGTTTTAGGCCAGCCCCAGCTACACAGTGAGACCCCCATCTCAAAAAAAAAAAAACAACAAAACAAAATAAAAATCCAAGTTAACCTCATAAATATGATTTCATTGCTCCTTAAATGGATTATGGTTCATGGTTTGAAAAAATTAAAGTATATGAATACGTCTCTATTTCAATTGTACTCCTGATACTGAATAAATACAAAACCTCATCTCATAAATTTACTAAACATTTAGGGAGAAAAGTAGTAGTATCACCTTTTTCTAAAGAGTGACCTTCATCCTACAAAAACCAAAAACCAAACAACGAGCAAGATAAGATACAATCAAAACACAAGCAAACAAAGAAGAACAAATTTACTGGTGGCCTGGAATGCTGTCAGCCTGGTCTTGCTCATGTCCTCCAGCACTAAGGCCAGCTGTCTTCTTCTTTTCCAATGGTACTTCATACCACATCCTGTGAGAATTAGGCTCTTAATAGGTTTTTTGTTTGTTTGTTTGTAAGGGGTACATGACAGCTTGCTTCTTAAATGATTTCTTAAATGATTTTTAAAACAGCTGCTTAGGCTTATGAAAGACCTCTAGATTACAAAAGTTGTAATTCATTCAACTAAAGCCTCTTTACCCCTGAGGTAAGCATTTCACTGAAACTGGTAGGCACATTGTCTAAGGGCAAAAGAAAGAGGATATACCAGTAAAAGGTGTGTAGTACCCTGTGTGGTCTAACTTATTTTATCTTTTCGACTTAAAAAAAAATTTATTGAGAATTTCATACATGCATATAAGGTATTTTGATCAAGTCCATGACCTCTCCCTTCCCTCCAACACTTCCCATATCTCCCCATCACTTTTTTCTGACAATTTCATGTACTCTCTTTCCCTCCCTCCCTCCCTTCTTTTTTTTTTTAATGGGGCTTTTTGCTACTCTAATATTTACCCCTCTGAAGAGGTAACCCTAAAATCTTTTAGGGATTATTTTATTTTACTTTTATTTTATACCACCAAATGTGAGATAAATAACAGAAAGTAAGCATAAAAAGTGATTCTCTTCCTCATGGGCCTCCACCAACTGTGAAGGAGGAAAAGGAAAAAAATTGGTTTCAGAGTTTGACCTCCAGTGCAGGACAGTGTTCAGATTGGCATCAACAAACACAGAAAACAAAGAGGAGCCTGAAGACCAGGGGATCATTTACCCAATGAAACTACAACATCCAGGGCCTTAAGAAGCCCAAACCTACTGAATCAAAGCTCCCTTGCTACACATAAGAGTTTGTATTTTAGAAAAATACCCCCAGCAACTCTGAAGTAGGCCAGATTTAAATAGTCCAGTTCTTTAATTTGCTAGGGGTGGAGCGATAGGAAACAAGGCAGAACTCCAAGAATTCAGTAGCAAGCCTAGATGTCCTAGCTAGTTATACTACAGTGACTCTGAGACCAGACTTCCACATGGGGTAAAGTACAGCAGGTGTGCTTATGAAGACACCAGAGTAGGCAAGCACGTGGTTTGGCTAGAGGCTTGCAAAACTTAGGTGCTGTTACCAAGAACCCAAAGCAAATTCCAGGCCCAAGAGAAGACACTGCTGAAGCCCTAGAGACTGGGCTGCTAAAGCTCAGTTAGCTGGCTCCAGGCTCCTCACTTTGGTGACTAGAGGAAGACACGAGAAAGGGTATGCTTATACAGCTTCGCATAAAGCTGGTCCAGGAATTGGACCAGACTGTAGTCTGCAGGTGAAAGACATTTTAAGACCCATCTACAAGGATTGAAGGGAGGCAACAAGGGATGAAAGCTAAGACTAACCCTTAAGACTAGCCTGTAAGACCAAAGATAAATGGCTAGGTCTGCTCCCTTCAAATACATGTGCATACTAAAATGCAGTTCTATCATTCTTGTGTCACATCTGAAAAAGAATGAGCCAAATGTCAGTGGCATCTGGATACCTTTTAGACAGGACCCTAATTTGTAGTGTATTACAAACCTGTAACCTTGGGCAAACAAGTCTCTTAACTTTCAGGACAGCTAGCTTAACCGACAAATTAGGGAAGCATTAGTGGGGGCTGGGGTCAGAGAGATGGCTAAGTGGTTAAGAGCATTCACTGGCTCCTCTTCCAGAGGACCTGGATTTGTTTCCTAGCATCCACATGGCAGCTAACAACTGTCTGTAACTCCAGTTCCAGGGGATCTGATGCCCTCTTCTGCTCTCTGTGGACACTGCATGCACCTGGTGCACTTATATGTATGTAGGCAAAACACCCATAAACATAAAATACAAATAAATAAATTTTTTAAAAGACAGCATTGTGTATCCATAAAGGTGAAGTGGCAATTAAATGAGAAAACCCTGAGAAACATTGAGTGCTATATAAAAGTAAAGCATGGCATTCTACTTCTGGTCATCACATCTTTGTACAACCTGCAGAAATAAGGAACTTTCTCAACGAACAGAAGACCACAGCAGTTATGAATACGGGTTTAGGAATCACAACTTGGAGAAAATTTTGTATGTCTCAGCTACTTACTAACTCTAGGTTATCTAAACTCTCTGAATGTTAATCTGTAACAATAGAGATGATAATACTTTTCTATAATTAATGACTGAGTCATTTAAACTATTTGAAAGTTAATCACAGCAGAGATGATACTTTTCTTTCATGAATGTCAGGAGGGGTGAACGAGACCAAGTATAAAGTATATCACCTTTACACAGCAATCCCTAATGGATCATGGCTACCATCTTTATAAAATTGTTCTCAAAATGCCTCAGATGTCTAAACAACAGAACTGGAGAACATGTGACCAGTTTTCTGAAACCAGGCAAGAGGTACACACAGTCGCCCATCCTAGCCTTATGCACTTACATCAATAAGATCAGACAGATCATGGATGTAGTACTTGAAGACAGATGCATTGGTTGCCTCCAAAGCCAGTAAATACTCATTCCGGGCTTTAATGGCTTTCAGCTTATTCTCTGTGTACTTGGCTTGGCGCTGAAAAGAAAATACAAGTTCACTTTTATTATTTTTTTAATTAAAAAAACTTTTCTTACATTATTTAGTGTGTGTGTGTGTGTGTGTGTGTGTGTGTTTGTTCACAACATGCACATGTCACAGTGCATGTGTGGAGGTCGGAGGTTCTTGGGATTGAACTCAGGTTGTCAGGTTTGGTGGCAAGCACCCTTAACCCGATGAGCCATCTCAATGGTCCACCACCTACTTTTAAACGGCGGATATGGTTTTGTGAGAGATGAAAGTACAGTACATCAAGAACCTCTGACTTAAAAGTCTGGTGTGGTGGCATACACCTTTAGGCCCAGCACTAGGAGGCAGGGGCAGGTAGACCTCTGTGAGATAGAGGTCAGCCTAGTCTACATAGGGAGTTCCAGGTCAGCTGGAGCTACAGGGAGACCCTCCCTACACCCTCCAAAAAGGAAAAATTAACCTCCACCTTGCTGCTATTCCCTGTGCACATCTGCTTTAAACTGGGTTTTAATTCTGATTAATGAAATTCAAGGGCACAAGGTAGATCAATTCAGGAAAGGTTAAAGAAGCTCCCTCCTTCAGATGTGTGCCTTATTTTGATTCTGTCTTCACATACTACTCCCCTCTGGGCTGTCACCCTGGATGTATTTTTACTTCTATCCCTAAGTACTGGTATCTAAAGCCAAGATAGAAGGTTCACAGTCTCCCCATTTCTTAAAGCAATAGGACAGTTCACTTGATTTTGATCATGAGCTGAGAAAGGTGACTGTTGTTTTCTGTCAACATACTTGAGGTTAAAATCTTGGAGTTCATGTGCTCAAGTTTTTCCAATACCTAGAATTCTTGCCAAGGCACAGAAGGACTCTTTGAAAAGGTCATGAGGCATTAAAGGCACCTAGAGCTGTTTGTTCAGCTCTGCATGGTACCTACTGGGAAATGATTATCAATCTTGCCTTCAAAATTCCTTCCTGTCTCTACAGTTGCCAGAGCACATGTACCTTTTCTTTCATCTTTTCAATCTTCTTCACTGAGCTCCTTCGGACATGTTTCTCTTCAATGCGGATATTGGCTGTGGAGTCAGGGGAGCGCGGGGTCTGTCGGTCCTCCTGCTTCACTGATTTACCGATTTGCTTCTCTTCCTGCTTCTCCGCCTCCTTTAGTTTGCTCTGAGCACTGATGCTGTCAGCATTGTACATGTGATATGTCTTCATGACCTGCAAGACATTCCCCACCCCCACCCAGAGGTCAAGCCAACAGAGTCAACTGTTTTACAGACTAATAAACCTAATAAACTCAGCTGGACCTCTCTCCATGAAGCAATACTCTCATCCTCCTAGGGGGAAAAATCCAGAAGTGTTTGGCTTAGGAAATGTATATTAAGAACTACATCAAAGTAAAGCACAGCAGTACTGGTAATAAGCCATCTTATTGCAATGACTTCGTGTATTATTCACTTTTATTTATCATTTGTAAGCATAACTTTTATATTGGCTCAGTGATTTCTTTTGCTTAGTCACCTTACAATACTGAATAGATATAAATTAAGAGAGCTATCCCAGGTCCCAAGGGCAAAGGGCAGCATGGCCTAAGGAGTAGCTTACACCTTTTATACCAAATATAAAATGAAGAAGGGGAAAAGGGTCCAAAAGACCTCTCCACTGGCCTGCTTTATCTACATTAGATACCCTCTCTCACAGCAACTGAGCAATATCAATGGATGTTATCCTTTACTGAGCACTTAGTATATTCCTGGCCTTGTGCCACCTTATTCTGAGCCCACACATATTTGCTAATTTTATTCATGTAGTAATTCTATGACCTAGAAAAAGACACTGTGAAGACTGCAGACCCGAACAATTCAAGTAAAAGGCTGGGAAAGAAAAAAAATTTTATCAGGTGTAATTGGAGTTTGCCACAAGCAGGAAATAATACAAAGAGAGGGATGTAGATTTCCAAAAAAAAGCTATTGTCCAGGAATCCAATGTTTCTTAGCAAGAAAGCCAGGAAGCTGGAATCTCAGCTTGTTTTCAGTACTTCCAAACATGCTACTTCAGTCACATAGGGACCTGCATTAGTCTGCTGGAACTTTCTGTTTCCACACACATACAGCTTACAGATTCTATGTGGGATTAAAATGCTTGGTAACAATCAAGCAATTAGAAATTCAAGAGTGCTGAAATTTAGATCCCATAAGGTTCCTTTGAGAAGGAGAGATAGTGTAGGAGTTTTTTGTTTGTTTATTTGTTTGTGTGTTTGTGTTTGTGTGTGTGTGTGTGTGTGTATATACAACAGAGGAAAGCAAAGATTCAATATTAATACTAATCCCTACCACTTATGCTATGTGTCAGGGGCTTTACGCTTGCCACTTTGTTTAAGCTTCACAATGACTCTATGCAAGACCCCTCTACTTTGAAAGATAAGGAAATGGGTCTCAAAGATATTACCTACAGTACCCAAATTCACACGACTAGTGAATGACTGTCAGAATTCAAACCTAGGTCCATCTAGCTCCAAAATCCACATTCTTAGTCACTAAGTAACAGTAGCTGTCCTCTGCATAGCACTGAAGCTGAATTAATTGGGAGGACAGGCAAGGGACTCTTGAAAAGAAAAACTGGTTTCATTTAGGAACTCAAGTGCTCAACTGAGACCAGTGTCTCAACTAAGGGCTATTTCAGATCCCAGAGAACAATAATTGGCAATGTCTGGAAATATTTTTGGTTGCAATAACTTGGAGCTTGCTAGTAGGCAGGCACAGGGATACAATGGGTAGCCCAAAACAAAAATGATCTGTTCTAAAATGTCAGTGGTACTGAGCTTGAGAGAACTTGGAATTTTATGGGTGTATCTAGGATCGCCTGGTGGTAGGAGGGAAGAACACAGAGGTACACCAGAGGTTCAATTCTGTCTCACTCTAGAAACAATATTTTAATGTTTCACCTTATTCTAAACTTGACATCATTTCCTGTAACCTCCACTCAGCTTATACTCTATGTATTACCAACCAATGACATCAAAAAAGCTTTGCTAAGAAATTTGAATAAATAACCATTTTTCCAGGTTGACTAAGAAAGAAGCATTTGCTATCCTGGCTGAAGGAAAGATGAAGAGCTCCTTTTTATCTGTTTTCACTTGAATGTGACCAAAGAATCCAAGCACTGGCATAAATTATTATAAACGTGATTTTTAAAAGAATGAATTTCTATTTTGTGAAGTGCATGATACATAGGAAACATGATGAATGAGTATGGGAAACCAAGTAAGTCAAAGAACTGTGTCACTAGACAGCAACGTAATAAAAATCAACCATTTATATTGTTCTCTCATTAAAAAGAGAATAAAACGCTTGGGAGGCAGAGGCAGGCGGATCTTTGTGAGTTCGAGGCCAGCCTGGTCTACATAGTGAGTTCCAGGACAGCTGGGACTACAGGGAGACCCTGTCTCAACAAGACAAAAAAAAACAACAACAACAACAAAAAAACCCCCAAAAAACCAAAGAGAGAATAAAACAAATGCCAGGTGGTAACACACACCTTCAATTCCAGCACTCAGGAGGCAGAGGCAGGTGGATCTCTATGAGAGCCAGGCCAGCCTGGTTTACACAGCAAGTTCTAGGCCAACTGGGGCTACAGGGAGAACCTGACTAAAATGAGAGAGAGAGAGAGAGAGAGAGAGAGAGAGAGAGAGAGAGAGGAGAGAGAAAATGAGAGAGAATATGAGAATAAACATGATATACTTTAAGAAATTCTCAAAGACAACACTTTTTTTTGCATTCTTTTCCTTAGTTGAGGAATGTCATAGAATACCTCACTTAAAAATATGAGCAGGCAGCTAAAGATTATCAGACATTTGAAGAAATACCCAATATTTTCTAGAATAAACAAGATCGAAATAAGCAATTTAGAGGAAATAGTATAATGAGAAGTGTTGAAAACAGAGTATCAGTAATAACAGCCCAGAGATGAATGAGAACTGAAAGGACAGACTACTATGAAATAAGCCCGAGATGAAGGGGACTGGGGAGAATATGTAGAGATCAATGTAAGAGTTCTTGGCAATCAAGATTCAATTCAAGGGGTTCTAGGGAGACCCTGCCTTAAAAAAATTCAATTCAGATACCTCTTCCCTCCAAGAGTACGATCCATGCCCCTCTTCCTCCACAGACATGTAAAAGAACTCGTATCATCTTATTTTTTATTTCCTGCTTCACTTTTCTGTCTCCCCATATTAAAACTAAACACCTTGAGTTTAGGGATATCTCTTGTCTTTGTATCCCTAGTGTTTAATATCAGGGTCAAACAGACAAGAAGAGCCAGGGGACTATTAGCTGACACTTTCAAGGGAACAGGTGCTGCATTTTAATAGGAAGTAGCCCTGCAACCAGCTGCTGTACCAAGTCAAAGATATATTCAGGGATAATACAGAAGCACAGAACCTCTGGGGTAAAGATAGTCCCTGAGTGTTCCACCACCCTTCCCTCCCTCCCTCCTCCTTCCTTCCCTCCCTCCCCCTATCCCTCCCTCCAAGCTAGTTTCCTTGACTCTTCATAGTCGGTCCATGTGGCTTTCCTGCCTCCATATATACTCTTTCCTGTGGGGGCTTCCTGAGTTTTTCCAGACACAGCTTCTGCATATAGTTGAGGCAGACAATCCCAGAGTTCTTTCGGAAGCACTGAACTCTGACTTCAAAGGCATTCCTAGAGCATCAGTCAGAAAACGAAAGTCACTTATACCATGGTCTACAAGCTAGCCAGCTCATTGTAATGAGTGGGTGGTGGTGGTGGATAACAGCCAGACATATATATGTGCAAGAATGCTCACTGGGACTGCTCTCTGAAGAACAGCTGTGGGAAATGGCCTCTGGCACAGAATGTCAAGATAGGGAGGGAATCAAAGGCTCTTCAGGCAGAAGAGGAAGGTGGAGAGAGGCAACAGGTCACTTATGGTGAGATTGTGGACCTCTGAACCAAAGACATCTTAGAACCACCTAGGCTCTGCCCCTTGGTTCATCAAGAGTCAAAAATTCTTAAATTAATATTCCTTAAGTAATTAGTTCCCACAAAAGAAGTATTTGTAGATGTTAGGCGCAGTTGCAAGCAAGAAGAGGACTGAAAATTATGGTACTTTCTTATACCCTTGATCTCCTTTTTCCAGTGCCCACAAATAACTCCTACTACTGACAGGATCAGTGGAAGCTCCTTAGGAAAAACAAAACAAAACAAAACAGAACTGTCCCTCTTCTCTTCCTAACTCCTCTGAGAGTGTACATATAGCAAAAAGCTTCCCAAAGCCAGCATGCACTTGTCCTAACTTCTTACTTGCAGGCTGACTAACATCCCACTTTCCTCAAGACTTTGCCAGTTTAGCACTAAAAATATCATGCCCCAAGAAACTCTTCAGCACTAGGCTAACCAGTAAATAGGGATAGTCACTCTAATTTCAGAGGGTCTTCTCAGACTAATCTTAAGCTAATCCCACCCTACAAAAGAAACAACTCTTAACTCTATTCTGTGAGCTTTCTAATGATCTATACAGAATCTGAAAACTCATTTGATTCTTAAATACAGTCATATTTTAGAAATATGACTTTTTCAATCATTCCCCGCCCCATGGTATATAGGTACCAGAATATGGTATTTGTAACTGATCTGTAGAGGAGTAGGTTGGAAGTCCACAAACCTCAAACCAATTCAGATCATCATGCTGCTTTGGCAGTGGCTTCAGGATATCTCTTGTCTTTGTATCCCTAATGTTTAATATCAGAGTCAAACAGACAAGAAGAGCCAGGGGACTATTAGCTGATACTGTTTCAAGGGGACAGGTGCTGCCAGGATAGTGGTCAAGACAAGAGAGAAGCTAGGATGCCTAATTCTCTGGAGCATAGAGTCAGCATACCTGGGTTTCTCAATCTTGGTACTATTGACATTTTGGGCTGGATAATTCTTTGTTATGGGGCACTATCCTGTAAGTCATAGGATTTTAGCAACATATTTGGGCTCCTACCTTTTAGATGACACTAGCTCCATCAACTTTTCTAGTTGCAACAACTAAAAATGTTTGCAGACATTGTCTAGGGTGAGGGTAGGAGACAAGCACCCTGTTTAAGAATCATTCTACCAGATTATTGTGCCTTCTCTGGAACTTTCCCTACTAGAGGTAAATATCTAAGACTGACTTAGGACTTGGGAAAATTATAAGCATATCAATTCATCTCATGCAGGGAGAAGGCACACTCTGCCAATTCTCCATGCGAATAACAGTGGGAAGGTTTTATGTTCTGTATTAATTGTAGGCTTATAATGGCCACAAAAGCAGTTGGCCAATACTGGATGGACTAAAGACCAAAGATGGAAGTCTCAGGGATGGAAGATGACTAATGACCTAAGTTTGATCCCTGGATCCCACGAAGTGGCAGGAGAGAACCAACTTCCTAAAGTTGTCCTGTATGCACATACACAATAAAGAAGTAATATTAAAAAAGAATAATAAGAAAAATGGAAGTCCCAGGTTGGCCCTTACCAGACAGAACAGCAAATCCATGGTTTTCTTTCTCATTCCAGCACAGCTTATACTTTCACTTACTTTTTTTTTTTTTTTTTTTAAATGAAAGCTTATGAACAGACCCATGACTCTGAGTAAACGCTAACAGCACTTTAAGGACTAATGTTCCTCTGTTGCAAAAGCAGTATTCTGGGGGCTGGAGAGATGGATTAGAGGTTAAGAGCACTGGCTGCTCTTACAGAGGACCCAGGTTCAATTCCTAGCACCCACATGGCAGCTAACAATCATTCATAACTACAATTCCAGGGGGATCTGACACCTTCTTCTGACCTCCTCAGGAATTGCATAGCACAGGTGTACACTCACATACATTAAAAAAACAAAACACACAAACAAACAAAAAACAAAACCAGCATACTGGATCTGAGTTGGTTTGAGGTTTGCTGGTCTACTCTTCTCTAAAAACAATGGCAAATAGCGACGGCCCAAGATGCTTATGGGAAAATAAAAAATAGTAATGTGGTGCCATTTGTTATCCTAGGGAATTTTCCACAGAAGAAAGAAGTTACAGTTCTTCTTGGTATGTAGGAAATGCTCTAAAAATAAAGAGAAATAAAGCATTGAAAAGATAAGATTCAGGAAAGGAAACTCAGTCAGTTTGAAAATGACTCTCAATGATGTGCTTCTTTTTCTTTCTTTTCTTTTGGTCTTTTGAGACAGTGTCTCCCTGTGGCCCCAGTTGGCCTGGAACTCACTATGTAGACCAGGCTAACCTAGATCTCACAAAGATCTGCCTGCCTCTGCTTCCCAAGTGTTGGGACTAAAGGTGTGAGCCACCATGTCTGGACACATGCTTCTATTTTTAAAAAAGTCTTAACTTCATTTGAGAGAAATGAAAACTTGGGAGTTGGAACAAAGAGTACCTCCCATCTCCTTGGTTTCAGAGCAGAAAAGTCACAGAATAGAAATTTAAAACAATCTAAGCATGACTGGAGACAAACTAGATAACCACTCTATTCTATTTACCAACACTTGTTATGACAAACTGGCCACACCTATGCTTTTGGATCAAGAGCTTGGAATTCTCTGATCTCAAATGCTTGTGATGCATGTTACCACTGCCTGTTTGTCCTGTGAAGGAAGACAGGACAATGGGAGGGAAAGGAAATGGGGGGAAGAGAGGGAAGAAGGAAGGGAAGGATAAGTAAACACAGAAAATCATTTTTACCTCCAAATAGGCTAGGGTAACTCTGGAACTCTGTAAAACGACACATAGTACTGACACAGCCGAGCTGGGGATAGGGTCTATAAAAGCTACAAACTGTATAAATGAAGCATTCCTCTTATGACAGCAGGAACTTCCTTGATGTACGTGTTTTCATTGTCATTAACAAAACATGGCTGGGAGAAAACAATCACCAGTACCTGGGGCAGGAAGCACACACCAGCCATAGGAGCTATGTATGTGCCTGCAGCCTCAGAGATCTCAGAACAGACTGTGTTCTTTTCTCCAAGCCTACCTCTTGCTAAGTGTTGCAACATTCTCTGCCAAAACTGGCTGGTCCTTCATATTGGAGATTTCAGGACTCTGTGCTCCCCCCTACAGCATCTGCTGTAATCTCAAATCAAGATTCATCTAAAGTCTGGTACAAAACTTAGACCACAAATCCTTTCCAATAGACAATAGTGCAATGTAGGTTGTGTTCCTTGCCATTAAGTTTGGGGCCCTTGATTTTCTGATAATGGAGACAGCTGTGTTGGTGACTCAAGATCTTGGCTGGTCTCTTTCAGTGATGCCCTAAATGAAACCAGGGTAAAAATTACACAACAGAGAAAATACTTTTTTCAAATTCAGCTTTGAAAAACTTAAGTGTGAAAAAAAAGATCGATGGGGTCACCCCAAAGGGGAAAATGCACTGTCTGTGGCCTTAGCTATGTTCTGTTGTTGACATGACTATAGCTGCAAGCTGCCACATGCTGCTTCCTTCTACTACCAGAGCCAGGCAACCCATCTGATTTACCGAATAGAGCTCATTCAGGACCTTCATCAAATCATCTTGGAGCTGCTGACCAACTTCTTTACTCTGTAAAGAAAGAAGAATGAAGGTTAATTGAAAAACAGGGGTGATAGGAGGGAACAACAGGCTCTGTAAATGACACAGACTCAATTAAGACCCATTATTTAACCTTGTAAATCAGATAACCACTTGGATCAGTCCCAATTATGGTCAGATTACTCAAAGAGTTTTAATGAAATGAAATGAAATGTGCCCTTTCTATAGCCAAGTACAGGCAATCATGTGGAAGGAAAATGGATTAAAGCCTTTGATATTTAATTGGTCCCAAAGGCAGGCCTAAGAGCCATATCCTACCTAACAATTGTTAGATGCAACATGCTTTTTCAGATATCTGTAGGCAAACATTCCAGAAGATGACAAAGGAAAGATGTAAAATAGGATGAGACAAGAAAAAGTATATAAACATTCAAGGACTTTAAAAACCCTGATGGAACAGAAAACTCCAAGCAGGAAGGAATTATACTTCTTACTAGCTTCATTTCTATCCCAGACTCCCAAGGCAGTGGTTCCTTAATAATGCCTGCTTGTAACATTAGCCAATGTTACCTAAATGATAATATATGCTGGGAGGAATTTCTAACTGGTCAATCCTGAGTGGCAGCATCTCTTAGATCCCTTGCTGCTGCTACCCTGGGTTGGTATCTAACCACAAAGAAAGGTAGAAACAGAAGCATGAGGAAGCAGAAAAGAAATGTTGTATACCTAATGTTCCAAGCCAAGCCCAAAAGGACAGAGGATAAAACTGATTGGTATCACTGGGTTATTGTCCTTCAAAACCAAAAGTTCAGACACCAACAAAACCCTAGCACACTTCTATATTTACTTTTGACAATATTGGAAACTTAACATCAGGGCTTGTGAGTGCTAGGCAAGCACTGTACTACTGAGCTGCATTCCTAGTTCCTAAAGGACACCAGCATAGCTCAGCTCCCAGGAAGTCTCCTCTCACTCCGAAATGTGGTCATACTAATAAACACTGCAGAAAATCTCAGAGTTACTTTAATTCCTACCACAAAGAAAATCTAGCTATTGTTACATGTATTTCTTTTTTCTTTCTTTTAAAAACAGTGTTATATAGCTCAGGCTGTCCTTGAACTCTCAATAATTCTGCCTCTGGCTCCCAAGTGTTGGAATTACAAGCATGTGTCACACTGTCCAGGTGTTACATATATGTTCTAGTTTCCCGCTTTGATTTTCATTTTTTACAAAGTTATGATTATATTATAAACACTATCTGGAAATGTATCCACTTAAATGTGTATGTTGTGAACATTCCCCATGTATTATTCCTCTATAATTTTATAATACTTTATACTGACATGATTCCTAATTTTGGGCATTTATTTACTTTGCTTCTAAGGCTTTGGGATAAAAAAAAGTTGTAGTAAATTGTTTTATACATATTCTATGTATATACCTTAAGCTATTTTCTAGAGTAACATGACTGTGTTAAAGAATACTCATTTATAGCATTAGATTACCATTGAGAAAAATTGGCCAATTAAAAATGCTGCCTAGAACATGAGGCTGCAGAGTGCTTATCCCTGAATAGGACATGTATATCAAACTTCTGTCTCCCAAGGCTCAGGGATCATTGTGGAAGAAGGGGTGGAAAGATTTTAAGAGCCAGAGGTGGCAGATGACCATAAGGAAACAGTTTTCCAGAGAGCTAGCCAGTTACTCATATGAACTCACAGCAATGGTGACAGCATGCAGAAGTCCCAAGTAAGCTCAAACCAGAAAAAAAATCCCAGGATAGATATGAGGAAGTGGGTAAGAAGCTCCAACCCTGCCTACAACAATCACTGGCAATTGGGAGGAACAGAGGACATCTCTTTCAAGCATGGGACTCTTGGTAGGTTAACCAGGTCCTAGTAAATGGACCTACACTGAAGGACATCTGAAGACACAAATTAGACTCTATAGACCTTATTTTAAACACACACACACACACACACACACACGTGCGTGTACATTAACTTGGGTCAGGGGGGCAATGAGAGGTGAGGATAAGGGTGGACGTGGATACACACACACACACACACACACACACACACACGTGCGTGTACATTAACTTGGGTCAGGGGGGCAATGAGAGGTGAGGATAAGGGTGGACGTGGATACACACACACACACACACACACACACACACACGTGCGTGTACATTAACTTGGGTCAGGGGGGCAATGAGAGGTGAGGATAAGGGTGGACGTGGATACACACACACACACACACACACACACACACACGTGCGTGTACATTAACTTGGGTCAGGGGGGCAATGAGAGGTGAGGATAAGGGTGGACGTGGATACACACACACACACACACACACACACACACACGTGCGTGTACATTAACTTGGGTCAGGGGGGCAATGAGAGGTGAGGATAAGGGTGGACGTGGATACACACACACACACACACACACACACACACACGTGCGTGTACATTAACTTGGGTCAGGGGGGCAATGAGAGGTGAGGATAAGGGTGGACGTGGATACACACACACACACACACACACACACACACACGTGCGTGTACATTAACTTGGGTCAGGGGGGCAATGAGAGGTGAGGATAAGGGTGGACGTGGATACACACACACACACACACACACACACACACACGTGCGTGTACATTAACTTGGGTCAGGGGGGCAATGAGAGGTGAGGATAAGGGTGGACGTGGATACACACACACACACACACACACACACACACACGTGCGTGTACATTAACTTGGGTCAGGGGGGCAATGAGAGGTGAGGATAAGGGTGGACGTGGATACACACACACACACACACACACACACACACACGTGCGTGTACATTAACTTGGGTCAGGGGGGCAATGAGAGGTGAGGATAAGGGTGGACGTGGATACACACACACACACACACACACACACACACACGTGCGTGTACATTAACTTGGGTCAGGGGGGCAATGAGAGGTGAGGATAAGGGTGGACGTGGATACACACACACACACACACACACACACACACACGTGCGTGTACATTAACTTGGGTCAGGGGGGCAATGAGAGGTGAGGATAAGGGTGGACGTGGATACACACACACACACACACACACACACACACACGTGCGTGTACATTAACTTGGGTCAGGGGGGCAATGAGAGGTGAGGATAAGGGTGGACGTGGATACACACACACACACACACACACACACACACACGTGCGTGTACATTAACTTGGGTCAGGGGGGCAATGAGAGGTGAGGATAAGGGTGGACGTGGATACACACACACACACACACACACACACACACACGTGCGTGTACATTAACTTGGGTCAGGGGGGCAATGAGAGGTGAGGATAAGGGTGGACGTGGATACACACACACACACACACACACACACACACACGTGCGAGTACATTAACTTGGGTCAGGGGGGCAATGAGAGGTGAGGATAAGGGTGGACGTGGATACACACACACACACACACACACACACACACACACACACATCCCCCAAGAGTACATTAACTTAGGTCGGGGAGGGGCAATGGGAGGTGAAGGTAAGAGCGGGGATCTAAATAACAAATTATATTGTATGAAAACGGAATACATTTAAAAAAATACTGCCATAGGCCTATAAAAATGTTCATTTTCTTTTTCCTAATTTAAAAATATGATGTGAGCTCTTATTTTTGTAATTCGCAATCTTCTGGAACAATTTGCATGAGTCTGTTGTCTCTATCATATAGGCTCTGGGGATCAAATTCAAGTTGCCAGGTTTAGCCGCAAGGCCTTTACCCACTAAGTCATCTTGCCAGCCAAAGCTTGAACACTTAAAAAAACTCTGTTTTGCTACTTTACTATTAAAGTGTTCTTTGCCCACTCTTTCGTATTAGGATATTCATTATGGAATAAATTGCTATGTGTTTCTACTTGGTAATTTAAGGAAAAGGGATGAAAGGAACCCTAAATTAGCAATCACAAAAGCTGCTTCTAGTCTCAGTTTTCTATCACTTGCTACATAAGTTACTTTGCTTTTTCCAGTGACAAAATACCCGACAAGAAGCAATTTAAGAAAGGCAGAGTTTATTTTAGTTTACAGTTCAAGAAGACACATTCCACACTGGCAAAAAAGGTATGGTGGGGCTGGAGAGATGGCTCAGTGGTTAAGAGCACTGACTGCTCTTGCAGAGGACCCAGGTTCTATCTATTCCCAGCACCCACATGCTGGCTACGAACGGTCGTTGACCTAGGGGAATCCGAAGCCCTCTCTGACCTCTGTGGCATTGCACGTCACAGATGAACTCACGTACATGCAGGCAATACACTCACACATAACATAAAAATAATAAATATTTTTTTTTAAAAGGCACAGTGGCGACTCCCATCCTCAGACCTCTTGGGGTAAGTCTATAGTGCAGGCCTCCGCGCTTTGACAACCCAAGCCACATTCACCCTTCCATCTCCCCCGCTGTTCTCTACCCCTAGTTTGGGCCCTGCGCCATTCCTAGTCTTGGGGCCCCAGACACCTGGGGAACCAAATCGGCTGCCTGATCCTTTTCACCCAGAACAACTTAGTCCCTTTCTTGGGACCCAGGAGCACCGCTTCTGGACCTGGACCCGGCCTCACCTCTCTCTGCTTCCCGGGACCTGCACCACTGGCTAACTCTCCTAGCCTGCACTCCCATCCTCAAACCTCTTGAGGTAAGTCTATAGGGCAGCCCTCTGCACTTTGACTCCCCAAGCAACATTCACCCTTCCATCTCCCGCGCTGTTCTCTACCCTTAGTTTGGGCCCTGCGCCATTCCTAGTCTTGGGGCCCCAGACACCTGGGAAACCAATACTGCTTCCTGATCTTTTTCACCCAGACCAACTTAGTGCCTTCCCTGGGCCCTAGGAGCACTGCTTCTGGACCTGGCCCCGCCCTCACCTCCCTTTACTTCCCTGATCCTGCAACACCCGCTAGCCTCTTTCTGGGGCTGACAGCCTCTTTCTGGGG